TCACACAGGATCCTAAAAATAAGGAAACGGTTGCCTACAAGCCCAGACTTCTGGTTTTCTCTTGAAGAACCAGAAGAGCAGGCCACGCTGGGCCCACAACCCCGACAGCAGCCGTCAGATGGGGCGGGGCGGACGCTGCCCCCTTCAGCCGGCACAAGGCTCTAGTTTGCCACAGTCCCCACCACTCCCTGCTGCTCTACCCCTAGCCTCACCTACAGTACCCAGTTGGCCCCTGAGACCTAGACCGGATGACCTCTAGACTGAGCTCCCAACCCTGGTTTAAGGCTTTTCCTGCTGACCCCAGCGAGGAGATAGATTTTGCGTCAGAATGGAACCAATGTGAGTTAGGGGATGAAAAAGATCTGGGAGCTTCTGGCATTGTCACCTCCTGTGTCTGCTTAGAGCTTCCTAAGTTCTTGTCTAAGGAGGTCCCTTGAAGCCCCGTTAGGCTCCTGAACTTCCTTCCAGTCCCGCAGACATGCAAAGGCAGACATGGGGGAGGGAGGAGATGCTGAGAAGGGAGGCGAGGCCAGATCACCAAGGGCCTTGAGTGCTAAGCCAAGGAGCAGTCTTCTCTCTTCTATGATCCCTTCCAGAGTCACGGGCCTCAGGTGGGCAGACGCCGCTCCTATGGGTCCCCTGTGCTGTGCTCGCTTCCTCTCTAGGCTCTACATTGAGGCGCAGGGCCTCGCCTCCCTGTACTGATGAGGAAGGTGGGGCTCAGGGCACTGGGTGCCAGCCTGAGCCACACAGCGAGCCCGTGTAGAGGACACCACCTGCTGAGAGACGCTTGCTGGCAGCCAGAAGCTGGGAGGGAGGATTTAGAAAATGAGAGTAGATGATGAGCTAGAATGGATGGATTTTTGAAGGAATTGTTTTAAATTTATTTAAGGTTCATATTGTTTTCTCAAAGTCAGAGAGGGGAAATGTTAATGGCCATATTCAGACCAGCACCCAGGGCTGCATGAAGACCGCAGTGGCCCCAGGAACTTTTGCCTTTTGTATCCCTTCCTATATATTAAAAAAAAAAAAAATTCAAGCTCTGGCCAGTGGTGCTCAGTGGTTACAGCGTCGGCCCATGGAGCAAAGTGTCAGAGGTTCAGTTCCCAGTCAAGGGCACGTACCTCGGATGCAGGTTCAATCCCTAGTCTGGGTGCGTGTGGGAGGCAACAGATCAATGTGTTTCTCTCACATCAATGTGTGTGTGTCTCTCTCTGTCTCTCCCTCTCCCCCCTCCAACTAAAAAATCAATGGAAAAAATATCCTCAGGTCAGGATTAAATAAAAATGAATTAATTAAAATGTATATTTTATAACTGAATATATTAACATATATTACATCTTTTCTTCACCTAAAAGTTTACTTTTTTTCCTTCTGATTTTAAAAGAAATTAACATTTTATGGGCCCCTGACAGCATTGTGGGGCCCGGGCTCTGTGCCCAGGGCCCAAGGGAGAGGCCTCCCGGCAGCTCAGGTCTCCTGCTCCCCCCCCCCTAGACCCCTC